TCGTCGAGCAACCGCTGATACGTAGTCGTTTCTTTCTCTATCAACATTACAGTTTCCGATCTTTCCAGAATTGGCTCCGTTCGCCGCAGCCGAGCCCTCTTTCTTTCTCGCTGCCTTTCACCGTTCGTTCTTGTTGCCTTTCACCAGACTCCTTTACCACTGGTTGCATGATCAACATCGTTGTCGCCAGTCTTCTCTTTTTCTACAAAGAAATCTGTAGCCACTGCTTCTTCTCTCTTCTTCTCCGACGAGCAGTTGATGTTAGCCGCCATTGTTAGAGTTGTTCCATCGTCGATGCCGTTATCTTCATCTAGTTTTTATGTTTTCTTCTTTTGTTTATTTTTCCAGTTTAATCATCTCCACCCGATCAAATTGCGGGGGGGGGGGGGGGGGAGGGAGGGGGGATGTTAGCGAATAGGGTTTAGGCTCAATCCCTTTAGGTTTTAGCCATTAGGCTTTAGGTGTTCGTAATATATTCTTATGTAGTTGTCTTTTGAGAATCAATCAATCAATTATGTAATAGTTATTTCCATGGGTGATTAGACCAGAAGAGGGAAAAGCGTAGTGAGAGACGCTGACAGAGAAAGCAATTTTAGCGTCTTCAACTTTAATGGAGACCGAGTTGACAGTGAGTCTGTAGGAGGCTGTGAAGTTGCGGCAGTCAGTACGAGAAAAGGCAAGGATAAAAACGGTGGTGGCAGAGTAGATGCAGGGGGAATAAGGAGCAATAAATAAAAAGTGGAGTTGGTTGGAGCGGAGGTGGTAGGTAGATCGGAGTTCTAAACGATGGGCATGCCAAGGCACCATGAGAAACGTCGGGCGATGTTGGTGGCTTCGGAGTACCAGACCTCAATGTGGCGGAATCATTTGATTGAGAATTTGTTAGACATGGGATTTGCTTGGATGAAGTCATTGATGCCATTAGGGCTTCTTGACGAAAATAGAGGCGATGATACCGACATCTTTTTGACGGGGAGAGAGAGAGAGAGAGCGAGCAAGAGAGAGAGAGAGAGAGAGAGAGAGAGAGAGAGAGAGAGAGAGAGAGAGAGATAGATAGATAGAGAGAGAGAGAGAGAGAGAGAGAGAGAGAGAGAGAGAGAGAGAGAGAGAGAGAAATGCACGGTTACGGGAGGGGATTGGTGGGTAGATTAATTCTTTTATTATTATTATTTTTAAATAGAAAAGGTATTAATATAGATTTAAAAATAGGAAAAAAAGAAATGAAAATTGTAAAATAGTCTTTTCAAGTTGTTCACGGACCAAAACACGGAAAAACTTTGATTTTGGACCTTCTATACAAGTGGAAAAGTTTTTTTTAATCCCATCCAATGTTTTTTGAATACCACAGTGACCAATCTTGCAGTTTTATATATATATATATATATATATATATATATATATATTATAAGAGTAGATTGAACACCAAGTTTGACACAAACTTTTTATTGATATTAAATACAACATAGAAATCAAGTCATGTGACTGTGTACATAGATAATATTATCTTTCAAGCGCAAAACTTGTAACAGAGACAAGTTTTTTTGTCACATTTGGGGTCAAACGCTTTATCGCATAATTTCAAACAGTCTGCATCCGTCTAACAAGATGACTTCGGGATCGGAAATTCACATTTATCTCTTCCTATCCAATGTATAAAAGTCTCACCTGCAACAAACAAAACAATCCATCACCATTTGTATTTACTTAATATTTATTTTCTCAAAATCACACACATTAACTCATCTTTTTCATCTCAACAACAAAAATATGGAGATGGAACAAACAAGGGTTATAGTTTCTATCTAACTAATATCTCATTTACTCAGTTAATTTAATTCCAAAACCATCAATAATCATCTACTTTCCATAATAATAATTAAAAACACAAATTAAAATATCTTCATAAATCAACATATATGTGTAACAAAAAAGGTAAAATAGGAAAAAAGTAAAATGAATGTAGCAAAGAGAGTAAGGAGCAGCATCAACACAAATAACAGTAAGCTTTTTCCCATTATCATATCAAACAATATATATGTTAAGAAACCACAATTAGCTCCCCTTATATAGGTAAACACCACCTATGGATAATTAATTATTGCCAATTTATTCACGTTTTCAAATTAGGTGTTTGAAAAATCTAGTAATCCGCAATAAAAAAATTTATTGCAATCTAACATCACATGACCTATATTCAAAGTTTAAAACATTAAACAATTATATAATTTCAGAAATTTAACAAAATCACATAAACTGACTTCATAATTAAATATTACAAACACATATTACAATTTAAGAACATAATTTTTACAAACAATTATATGTGTTTATATAAAGATATAAAGCATTAGAAAATATTAAGTAACAACAATTAGGTCTTTTAAAATTACCAAACAAAAGTTAGGTGAAAACCTAACTGCATTTGACAAATAACCGATCAATTACAATTACATAATCAAATATAATACGTTTCACAAAAATCCCATAAAATCAACAACAATTGTTTTTAACCATCTTTAAATCGTAATCTCATTGACACTTGATTTGGTCTCCTGACACTTTCTCCCGCCTATTCCTTCATCAAAAAATCATTCTTGAAAAACAGGAATTTAAATTAGAAACTATTCTATTATCCTTATTAAATAAATCAACAACTTTAATTTTAACAAAACTTTTTGAAACGATGACCCAATTACTTTTGTTTGATTTGAACATTCTTTTGCTTTCCAAAAAATTTAATTGAATGTGCATTACTATTTATTGCACAAAATACCTTTTTGGCCACCATTATATGGGGCAGTATCACGCAATTGCTTAAATTGTTTTGTTGTAATTGGTGCAATATGCTCAAACCGTTTTGGTTTTGTTATATTTTTATTAAAAAAGGAAAGTGACATAGCATAAGGTAGAGATAAATTAACAAAAAACAACTATAAATACCGAAGAAAATAATTTCTTAATAGGTTTATAATAAGAAGTGCATATTTGACATAAAAAATAAGTAATAATAGGTTATAAACCTTTTTTTAATACCGAAAGGTACTCCCTTAAAAACTAGATTACTATCTCATGAAATTACAATGTCATTTTAGAAAAAGTCAAACTTTATCATTTTCTGCCTTGATCGATATTTAAGACAATTTTGTTTGTTATGGTTGTTAGTTTTGATGAGAATTTATATTTTCAAAGCTTTATTGCTATTGAATTTAATTCATTAATGCGTTATGAATTCAAATTATGTTTAATCTGTATAATTTTTCCGTACTATATGCCTATGTGTGTGGAAATAGCAATGTACTCAATGAAAGTAGGATGCTAAAGTTGTCTAACACATAAATAAACAAACCAAAATACCTTGCTAGAATGGTATAAACACGTGTTGATATAATTGTAAACCCAAAGACCCAGATTCGTTATATTTGTGTGTTTTTAGGTAAATAATATGTCAAGTCTTTTATTTGATTTCACTATCTATTTACCAAGTATTTTATTTGTATACTAAGATACTAAGTGTGAGACCTATGTATTATACGGGTTTATTAAAAGGACCAAAAGTAAAGATGTGAGCAAAAAAAGACCATTCACGCAAGTTTTGATAACCACAGGGACTATGTTCATAAAAAAATATGTACAACTGAGTTTGTGACCTTTGGTAAACCACATAGACCATTTATGTAATTTGATCTTAATTAATCTATATTAATAAAATTAATTAATATGAATTCAGAAATGGAAGGTATTATCAACCTTAATTATTATATTAATAGAAAGAGGATTTCACAAATAGAAAGTTATTATGTACATTAATTAATATATTAATAAAATTAGTTAATACGAGATGATATTTAATAGGTTGAATTTGAATAAAAAAGAACAAAAAACTATAAAAATGACAAGTGGATATTAAATAATTCAAAAAAATTAAAAAAAATGACAAATGTCAAAATGAAGGAGAAGATGACGTGTGGCAAAATCATTCATATTTGTTAGGGTATATAACTTGACATTTCATCAAGTATTTGATTATATATACTTTCTCAAATTTAGGAAATATTTGAAATCTAAGTCCTAAAAATGTTCATCTCAATCTGTTTTCACCATGAACAATCTAGGAATTACCCAGAATCTAGGAACAAGTTTTGAATGTTTTTATTTTTTCTTATTTTTGAGAGAGATTTTGAAAAATCTATAAGTATTCTAAGAATATTAAAAACCTTTTTGTGAATAATCCCTCTCCGATTTCACCCTCTTCTGCGCCTGCGCCTAACTCACTGAGTTTGAGTCACTTAGTCAAATCGTTCTGATAATCAGCTACACCTTTTGCCTCCGCCTCTCAATAGACTCATACACCTTCACCGATCGAACTCCGCCTATTCGTTTGTGTAGTTTAAAGTTCCACCACCGGCCTCCCTCACTACCCTCCGTCCGCCGCTGATGTCGGCCTCTTGGCAGGTTGTAAAGTTTTTTCTGTCATTCTCCACCTCTTCTTTTTACTTGAAAATCACGTCTTCAAGATCAGGCACACCATCTTTATTTGATTTTGAAAACAAAGATATGTTAAACAACTTTCTTCGTATCTATAGTGTATCTATAGTGTATGTGTATGAAACACTAGATATATTTATGTTTAACGCTTAATTCATTAATATCATATTGAATACTATAAAGGTTTATCTATGTTGCTTGATTTTAAATTGATTTGTTTATGTTGATTAATGATTGAGTTTAGGGATAAGCTTTGGAATCGGACTAGAACCGGAACCGGTTTTGCGATATTATAAGAACCGGGAGACGGACCACCATTTCCAGGTTTTGGTTACTTTTCGAAACAAGAACCAGTTATAAATAATATGAAACTAATGATGATGCAATTCATATTACTCACATGTAGTCAAGTTTTCTTCTTATAAAACATAATATTCAATGATCTAGTTTGCAAACATTGTTTAATATTCATATATATGAAATTTAATATAATTAAATCAATCAAGTTTCAACCAAAAAGAACAATTTAATATCATTTCTACGAATCTACCAAAATAAACTAGCTAACTATCGTCTACTTCTCCATCGACCTTTTTCCCATTGCTTTGTTATTGTGTATAGTTTCCCAATATCTATATAAAACACAAAACAAAAAGGTTGTTAGCATTTAGTAAAGAGTAAATTACTAAAATCGTACATCTGGTTTGGTCAAAACTGCAAGTTCGGTTATGGTCGCTAATAAACATGAAAAGACAATTTTACCCTTGCTATATATTTTTCCAACATTTTAAATAACTAGTAAATACTTATTTATAATAAAAACTGATTGGGTCCCTCCACCATTTCCTAACTCCGACCCCAAAACAAGCCTCCATCCGATGGCACCTTCTCCGATGGGCAGCCTGTTATATGTAGTCGTTTCTTTCTCTATCAACATTGTAGTTTCCAATCTCGCCGGCATTGGCTCCGTCCGTCGCAGCTCGAGCCCTCTTTCTTTCTCGCTGCCTTTCCCCAGACTCCTCTACCGCTGGTTGCTCTACCGCTGGTTGCTCGAGCCCTCTTCATTTTTAAAATCATTGTATGCTAGTTTTGAAGTCAAAAGGAAAAGTTAGAAAAATGGAGCCAGTTGGTCTATGCGATGAAAAAGAAAAGGAATACGTCCAAATGGTATTTTCAGGTTGCTTTCAAATAATGAGTAAGAAAAGAAGAGTTGTGCATATTGTGTTGATGCCTTGTTTATGTACAAAGTATATGAAAATTGGCGAAGTAAATTGAATGATACTACCATGTGGGTTCTTTTTTGTGAAAACAAGCTCAGGAAACAAAGAAAAGGAAAGTTGGCATGCTCACATGTCTGAACAAAAGCTGAAATTGTGTAAAAGTGCTTCTTGTTGATCAATTCCTCGATTTCTTCTTTCATATTAAATAAAGGATATTTGTTGCTCAGAAGATAGCCCTTGTCTTTGGTAATCAAGTATAGCATGCTTTTGTCGTCTTTGTTCTGAATCATCGTTCCTATGAATCACTAGAACCATATGTTTAATCCTTATCTTCGTTTGTACGCCCTGAATCAGAAACATATATTTCCATTGTGGTTTTGATTTGTGGATGTGCTTGGAGTTTCAAACGACATCATTGATGATCCTGATCTGAACTCCACTGATCTTGATCTGAACTCCAACGAACAAAAGTTGCAGAAATTGATTTTGCGTGATTCAAACTTGTTGATGAAATTAAAGGGTTTTACTCCAATTTCCAGATCAAAGAAGAAGGAAAAGAGACAATGATGGAAGATGGGCTTCTCTTACTTTTTGAAGCAAAAAGAAATAATACAAAGAAAAAGGCTTAGGGATATAATGGTCTCATTCGTTTGCTATCCTTCCTGTCAAAAAGCTTTTTGTCTACTTAACAAAAAAAAATATCGTTTTCCAAATGTTTAACTTTGAATGTCTCTAGTTTTTAAGTTTATTTATTTTTAGTCTTTATATTTATTTTGTTATTCTAAATTCGTTTTAATGTGTTTTAGTTATTTTTCAAATTCTATTAATTAAATTTTCTTTTGTATTTTTGTTTCTAGTTCTTAAATTTATTTTGTATATTTAATTTTCTAGACTACTAGTTAGTCTTTGTTTAAGTTAAACTATTTTTAGTCATTAATTTTGTTAGTTTTTATTCTTTTGTTAATTTTATCAATTTGTTTAAATTTTGTTATTTATGTTTATTATTTATTATTTATTTTTTTTTTTTTTGGGAATGAAAATAATTTCCGCTCATTTAATTATCATCGTACAGTGAGTGAGATAGCAAACGGGCAACAAGTTGCGCCGTTAAGGCTTTCTGTATGGTAAAACTAATTCTTTTAAAGACTACATCCGAAGGTCCAGGTGAAATAACATTACTATGCATGATCCGTTGTACTCTTTTAAGAAGCTCCTTCTGCTTCGGTCTTGTATGAGTATTGTTAATCTTTTCTTTGGGCTGAGGACGTGTCAACCCGTTCACATAGAGGAGGCGGCAATACTCTTTGACAATGGGTTGCGCGGGGCGATTGAGGACATTGTGGTTTGTGGGGACCCTTTCTTTGGTGACATACAGTGGCAAATTGATTCCTTACCTATTAGGTTTGGAGGTTTGGGTTTATACTCGGCAATAGAGGCTACCTCATATGCTTTAGTTGCCTAAAGGGCCCAATATTGGGTATTGCAAGACCACATCTTACGGGGTAGCAGCATATATGGTATGGATTATGATTATGATTGTGCATTGGCATCTCTTCGTAACAAACTTCCGGATTTTGACCTTAACAGTTTTACTACTAAAGACATTGTGCCCCCTAAATCCCAGAATACACTGGCGAGTGCCCTTTTTTGTAAAATTGTCCAAGATATGGAAGTGCATCTCGACATGACGGCTCGACAGAAAGCGGTTTTCCAGTGCTTACGTGCACCACATGCTCAAGATTTTCTTCTAGCTATCCTTATAGATGGGCTTGGCCAACATATGTCCCCCTGGAGTATCGTACTATCCTCAAATATTGACTCATGATTCCCATATTCCCAGCTGACGAGATATGTCCGATGTGTCGCAAGGCATGTTGGGACTCTTTTGGAGAGCATGCAGTTCACTGTAAAGAGCTCCCGGGGTTCAAATACAGTCACGATATGGTTAGGGACATTTTGTTTGACATTCTTAAGCGTGTCGGGGTTTCCGCTAAGAAAGAGGCACCTGTTAATTTCTTGACTGACCCGACAGAAGGAAGGTCAAGCCTCAGACCAGCTGACATTTTGATTTTTGGATGGGTCGGAGAGAAACACACATGTGTGGACCTTACAGGGGTATCCCCTCTCGTGGGCTTGAGGGTTGGGGGTTTCACGACGGGACATGCTGCTTTAAAAGCAGCTACAGGCAAAGTCACCAAACATGAGAAATCCTGCATGGAAAATCAACACGTGTTCATACCATTTGCATTTGATACGTCTGGTTTCCTCGCGCCGGATGATGTTTATTTTATTTTTATAAGTTTTATTTTCTAAAAGTTTTAATTAATTTCCTCTTAAGATTTTTAATGTATTTTCGTTCATAGTCGTTAAATATATTTCATTTTGGTTTGATTATTTTTTAGTTATAATCAAAAAATTCAAAAATGAGCGTGTGCAGGTGTTCTAAGCAAAGTGTTTCAAGTGTATATTTTTTATTGGATTGATAGAAATATAAGGGGGAGAATGCACTTAAAGTGTTTCAAATATAGTTTCAAATGGGTGTTGGTGACGATCTACCTAATGTGTCAATACACATTTGGTTCAAGATTTGCAATTTCATTGCATCATTTTAGTGAAACTGACGAGAAAGGTTATGATCACACACTGTGCTGACAGAGTGTCTAAAAGTATTGAAAAAATGAATCACAACTTTAGGGGGAGCATTCAAGCTGGACAAAAGCAAATGAGCTAACAATTGACAAGCCGGTAGTAATAGTTTTTTGAAGCTGAGATCTATGCTTCATCTGATTTGGTCTCTTGTGATGAAATCATTGTACCTTTCACAACTTGACGGTGGCTATTCTAAGCCTAGTATGCAACTTTAGAAAAATCATCGTCCCTAGAAGCATGATGTTGTATGTGCCTAAATCTCTTTGATTATCTCATCATCGAGACCATCTGCTGAGATGACATTGAGTTACCCACTCATGTTGATTGTCTAGAATTTTCTAAACTTTCAAAGTGGGATTGTCTGTTCCACATCAAAAAATTATTGCAAGGCTTGGGTATTTATTTTTCTTGATTTATCATCTTTTACCTAACTCCATCCCTAGAATAATGCTTGCCGTATGCCTCAATTCTCATGTTCTGCTGAAACATTGATCATAACCAAGTGGCATACCTTAATTTCATATACATCATCGTAAGGGATACTTTTCTGGTCCTTAAATGACAAAAGGTTATTTATGTCTCTGACCTCCTTGTTTGTAGTAGACATGGTACCATTATGAATTAACGGTGAATCTTTGATTCTAGTTTGTAATTTACTTTATGATACAGAAGCTTAAACTACTTCTTGTTGACGAATTAAAATGTTAATGATTCACGCTGATTTCACCTCAGCGTGACTGAAACAATCCATTCTCTCCTTTATCTTCTTAACAGAGCTTGATGATTCACTGTGAGATACCACACACTGATAAAAGTTTGAAACTCTGTGCCGATGGGTATATCATGTATCGTGATATATTACACACATCTATCCATTCTCGCCCTTTTTCTTCTAATATAAAAAGTTAATGATTAAACGTTTAAAACCATACGCTGATGAGACTTTGCAATTCTGTGTAAATGATATACTATTGCAACAACACAATAGTGTGATACACCTATCTTACCCTCTAACATTCTATCATCTCCTTATCATCTATCAGTTGCTGCAGCTCATGATACGTTGACTGTTTCCGCTGCTCTTACTGCTTCTACTACTGATAAGCAAAAATGGGAAGAGTCATACACATTCTCATGGGGGAGTATTCGTTAAAGCTGAAGAACTTATTAGAGATTAGTTTTGACATCATCAGATAGGGGAGATTGTAATGTCACAACTTATGATCTGATGAATCAAACACAATGACATGCTTACCACCAACGCCAACGTCAGCTCGAGAATGACAAGCATCAACATGATCCCATGAAGTTATCTGTGTATATTAGGAAGATATCTTTGTATATTAGGTAGTTATAGTCTATAAATATAGAATAGATAACAAATCTGATATCGTGGTGATAATGATATATTTATACATAGATTAGATAAAATCCCTTTAATTAAAGGATTCACTAGATTAGTTTAGTATATATACAACATTAGGGTCAAACCCTAATGTAGAATGACTTGGTGTCGTCAATGTCTTGGTGATCGTCTTTGTGACAAACCCATCTTCTTGGTGAAGACAAAACCTCTTTTCTTGGTGAAAGGGCAACTTGGTGAATTCTTCGTGTTCTTTACTTTTTTGTTCTTTTTTTTTATTAGTTAGTTTGTTGTTGTTTATTTTACTTGAAATGTATCCGATAAATATTAAGTCCACCTCACCCTAACACCACCTTATAAGACCATTTCCCTCAAAGGCAATCAATACTGATAAATATTAAGCAACTTCAAGCGATGCTTAAACTTTCCACCTGATACAACCTTGGTTAACATGTTTGTTGGGTTCTCATCTGTATGTACCTTCATTAGAAAAATACCACCATCCTATATGACATCTCGCAAAAAATGATATCTAACATTCACCATCCTCTATGACATCCCATAAGTTTGCACAATCTTGCTCAAACCCCAAATCATCTAAAAAAACCCCACAACCACAGTGCTAATTTTTCAACCTCTATTATAACCATGTACTCAGCCTCTGTGGTAGAAAGTGTCACTGTTGCTTGTAACATCGATCACCAACTAACAAGAGAACCATGTATTTTGAACACATAGCCTGTAGTAGATCGACATCTCTCAAGATCACTAGCATGACCTGAATCCAAAAATCTAGTAATTTGACATATATTTCCACCAAAGCATAAAACAATACTAGTGGTTCCTTTCAAATACCTCAAGACCCATTTCAGAGCTTCCGAATGTGAGAGATTATCTACTAGAGATCTTAAAATGTGGTTCCAATGGAGTCACCAATGGCTTAGCATATTGCATCCCGAACCTCGTAATAACCAAATCAATGTAGCCTTTATGGCTCAAGAACAATCGATGGTTCAACGTCTCTCTTCTAATCTCAATACCCAATATTATCTTGGAAATTCCCATGTCTTTCGTCTCAAACTCTTTACCAAGTTGAGATTTCAGCCTATCTATTTCCACCTTTCTCTTCGAAGCAATAAGAATGTCATCCACATACAAAAGAAGATAAATATACTCACCTCCATGAAGCTTCCGCATGTAAACACAACAAATTTATACAAACTTCTAAAGAATTCATGCTTCAGCAAGAAAGACTCCAATCGCTTGTACCACCATTGAGGAGATTGCTTCAATCCATATAGTGATTTCGTCAAGTGACATACTTGAATTTCTTTATCAACAACCTTGAATCCCTTAGGTTGATGCATGTAGATTTACTCATCAAATTCTCCATGCAAGAAAGCAGTTTACACATCGAGTTATTCCAACTCCAAATCACCATGAGCAACAATACTCAGCAACAACTAGATGGAAATGTGTTTCACTATCGGAGAAAATATCTCATTGTAGTCTACTCCCTCCTTTTGTACAAACCCCTTTGTTAGTAGTCTTGCCTTGTATCTTGTGCCACCGAGTTCTGAAGGATCCTCTTTTTTCTTGTATACCCATTTACATCCAATAGATTTCTTCCGTACGGGCAATG